TGATTAATTATAGATCAATCATCCTATGCACCATTCAAGTTTTGAAATAGCTTGTGAAGAATTTTTAATGAGAGGTAAACCTTTGACTTTTCAAAGATTTGAGGTAATCCAGACAAAATTTAGTTTGTATAGTTTTGTGTTAATTAATTATTTGTTAAATTAAATTATTTAGAACTTGTTAGGTGATTAAAGACCCGCTGATGCAAAATTTTTGTAATGTAATAGATTATGTGTGTGAAATTGTGGTGGATTGTTGAGAATAATATCCATGTTTATGCATATGTGATTAATGATGATGATTAAGAGCATGCCATTATGAAAACAATGAATATGTGATATTTAGCATATTGGGCATGTAAATTATCAATATGTGCATTTCATGATCATTTAGGCGGGAGTTTGCCTATAAGAAGAGAAATAATTGTGTTAAACCACATGGTAGTGATAGCTTACCATTAGAATCAAAAGTTTGCCTTGGCACCAACTGTTAGAATTAAGATGTAGCAATTGTCCCATGATTGATTAGAGATTGTCCCACTTATTCTTCAAGAGACTCAAACCTAACTGGTCTCCACTAGTTCATAAGAAAGTTAGATTAGGGATACGACATCCTAAGGTTATTAGTATTGGGGAAAAACTGTGGATCACAAGTGAATGAGTTTGCCTTGACTCGACAACTTCTTAGAAATGGAAAGCTAGGTTTAGTTCAGGTTGAGAACGTAGCCACTAAATAATAACTTATTTTATATTGGAAGTATTAAAAGCATATAAGGTTAGCATTAATCATGTATTATATATTTGACCACATGGTTGTTATTATTGTGCTCTGACATGTTTTCTATTAGGGTCGCATGGTTGTTATTATTGCGATCCCATGATGTGTGTTTTGAAATTATGTGATGATTATTTTTATGCCTAGTTATATAATTGTTGGTTTTGTGGTCAAGGCTATATTTGCAATGTATGCATATGATATTTGTGAAGCTATTAATTGTCATTTGTATCTATAATTAATTGATATGCAACTGTATATGTTATATTGACATTGGTTACTGAGAGATTATACTCATTCCTCTCTCTTCAATATTACAGGAACTAACTTATCAGGACAGGATCGAGGAAAACAGTCAGAGGCCTAGGATTTCTATCTTGAATTTGTAGGCCTCATTTATTTACAAGTTTTATATATACAATTTATCTTGATGATGTCAACTAGAAGATTGCATATTTTTGCTTACTTGCATTATTTGATTCTTGATCTAAGTTGTATATTTCAGGCTCTAGGTTGTATGTGAATTAAATGTAAAATCAAAATCGGATCAAAATGCTTATGCAAGTAAAGAGTGAATATATTTGTGAATGGTGGTAATTTAAATATAAGATTATATGATGGAGACTCCCCCTATGATTTTTTAAATTAAGGGATTGAACATTAAAAATATATTGTACATATTATTGAAGTGTTGTGATGTGTTGCATATGTCTTATTAATTCTATTGAGTGTGGTTTGGGGATAGTTGTAAACTTATGGCACTTGGTTGTAATTTTGCACACCCTAATTATGTTTTAAAAACATAAATGGGTAGGTTTACATTCTGGTGTTCAACTTTCAATTAAGAAATAATTTGAATGTGAAATTAGTGCCATTGATTAGAGTTTAGAGAAAGCTTTTTGTCAACACCTAACTCACCTTAATCGAACATCAAATGTAGAAATTAGGCACATTGAAAATTTAGTCTGAAAATCTATCATGACAACTTTTTGCTATCATGGACTTCTACATTTTATGCTGAGTATTATGCCAAATTCACTACTTTTTCTCTTTTGACTCTAATTTGATGTTATATTATCTTATATAATGTCCATGTTTTCATATACATGTATTACTCTGATTTTAGTTTATGAAATAATTTTTTTAGAATGTTAAGTTTTGAAAACTTGAAATCCTATTTATATAAATTTTACAAATTTGTAATTTACTTGGGTTAGTTCTATAATTATCTCGATTATGAAGTGAATTATGAATTAGTAAGAGAGACCTTACCCATAGTGCATAACCTACCTCCCGCCATATCTCTCTTGCTCTTACCATCTCTCTCTCTCTCTCTCTCGACTTTCAACGCTATAACTCTGTTGTGTTTTTCTCTTGTGTAATAGGAATATTTGTTTAAATAGCTTTGTTATTTATTTTCTCTTTTTACTCTTAATTATTGAGAATCTTGTTTGTGTATTAATTTATTATTATTATTATTATTATTATTATTATTATTATTATTATTACCACCACCACCACCACCACCACCATTACCATCACTATTATCACCACTACTACTACCGCCGCCGCCGCCGCCGCCGCCACATTATACTACCACTACTACTATCACTACCTACAACGATGACTACCACCACCACCACCACCACCACTACCACCACGGCCACCACTACTACGACCACCATCACCACCACCACCACCACCACCACCACCACCACCACCATACCACCACCTCTACGACTACGACTACCATCACCACTATACTACTACTCCTCCTCCTCCTCCCTCCTTCTTCTCCTGCTGCTCCTACTGCTACTACCACCACCACCACCACCACCATCACTAAGACTACTACTTACAACTACCACCACCACTACTACACACCACCACTACGACTACTGCTATTACTGCTACTGCTGCTGTTACTATTGCTGCTGCTGCTCTTGCTACTACTACTATTGTTGCTGCTACTGCTACTACTACTGTATGGGTGATATTAAAAGAAGATTGTTTAAATTATTCCGTTCCATTTATTTGATAATAACTCACAAGTAATGGTTATATAAAATCATTGCTTCCCTTCATAAAACTTTCAAACAATAAAAAATCTTGTTCTATCCCACTCCGTTATGCTCCATACCATTCCTTTTCATTTAATCCAAAGCTTCCAAACACACTCTTAATTTTGAAAAGGAAAGGGGAGCTCATTTGGTTAAAAAAATGTTAGAGGGGAGGGGGCCAAAATCTATCCTCCCCTCTTCTCCCATTTCCTCATTTTGACTCCCTCCAAATTAAAGTTTTTTTTAAGGGGAGCCAAAATTTATGATTAATTTATCCTCAATTTATTATTGATATTCCAGTAATGTCCAAATGAGAAAACCACTCCTTCCCTACACCTGCAAGCTCCTTCTTCATCTAGACTGAGTTACCTAAGGTAGTGGCATCTTTCTTATTGGTGGATTCATCCAAGCTAGTAGTCTCATAGGGTTGAGGTGTAGAGTTGGAAATCATCCAAAGCTCCCACTTTCTTCTCTTGAGAAACAGTCATGCGTGATCAATAGAAATGAATTATTTCCCATTACATTTTTGAGAAATATTAAAATTAATTTGAAAATTAATATATAAAATAATTCAATTTTAAAAAAAAAAAAGAGCTTTGTAGATTTGACATGATTATTGACAGAGGCTAAAGATGTAAACTTACATAAATTTTTCACTTTTAGTTAAGGATAAAATTAATTTACATAAGGAATAATTTCAAAAAAAAAATATAAAACTTATATATAAGGATATAATAGTAAATTAATTAATACACCATCTTTCCTAAACCAAATAAGAGATCATTAAAAAATCCCTCCCCTCCAACAAAATCAAATAAGGTAACATCAAAACCCTCCCTTTCTCTTGAACTAAACATATCCTAATGTAGTATAGGGCCCGTTTGTTTAAGATTAAATTATAATTAATTTTTAGGTAGTTTAGAAATTTTATAAAAAGAGATTTATTTTATAGAGATTTCATAAAAAGCATACATTATTTTATATTTGATTACAATAATAAAAAATGATAATTAATGAGTTATTTTTAAATTTTATGATATTTCATTGATTTTGTTTTATAAAAATAATTTATTATTATATTATTTTAAATTTTATGATATCTTCACGTATCCCGCTTTTTTAAAACACCCTTTCTTATCTCACACATTAGATTATTTTCAAAAGCTACTCAAGTAGTTTATTAAAATAATCATAAATTTACTTTTTTTATTTTGATTATTTTTAAAAGTTTAAAACAAATATCATAAAAACTCATAAAATAAATTTTTAAAAAAATAAGTAATTTTTTTATGAAATAAGTTAAAACAAAACTGATCAATAATTAAATTTTTGTAAACTTATGAATTAACAAGTTATAGGAATTAAGTTGTATGGAATAAAAAATTTATAAGAATTAAATTATTTACTTGGAGACAATTCTATTGAGGCACTATATTATAATAGAATAAGTCTTATGTACTCAACTTTATATATTCAATATATTTTTATTCAATCAGATCAAGGCATGTAGATTTTAATATGTTAATAATGAGAATTTATTATGGAATAAATAATTTATAAAAATATACATGTCTTGATTCAATTGAAAAATCTTAATTATCAATATAAAATAAATATATAAATTTTGTTTTAAATATTAACATAAGCTCTCCTCTTAATAAGAATTTAAATTTTTAATTTTAATTCACCAAATCTTGAGAAATTAACTTTTATTGCCAGATCCAAACATATTAGTCTTTGAATTTGAATGTTGGTGTTACAACTTATGACTTACCCCAGTTTATGGCCAAAGGAATCCTACAGATGAAATATTGAAGGACAAGAAACCTTTTTTATTTTTGGATAACTCATTTGTTTCATTAAAACTTTGCCTCGATTACATCTGGATCCGACCTGTGTCGTACACCTGACATGGTGGGAATTCTCCCAGCAAAAATTTTGTACATACCCAAGCTCAAACTTAAAATCTTACTTAAATAAAATCGAGTAGTTTACTATTCAGACCAACTCTCGTTGGTAGGGCAAGAAACTTTTATGTTGCAAGACTTTGCGGCCGAAGGAAGCCCACAGTTCAATTTTGAATGAGATGGATACAAATCGGCCCAAGATATCTGGAGAATCAAAGTCGATATATTCATTTATATTAAAAAAACAAACCGCGACGATAAACCATGTGCGATTCGTGACCTGGGAACAGAGGGATCCCGTGCGACATCAGATGTGACTCCGCGATAGTTTCATTTGACGCAGAGACGAAAGGGAGAAGGTGGAGAAAAATAAAGAAGCGCCTACCATTTTAAAAACTGCTACTACCAGGCCTCTAATGGATGCGGGAGCAGCCGGCGTCGGCGATGCCGTCGACGATCTTCCTACGATGGCTGCCGTATCGCGGTGGAAATTCGCCGTGTCCCGGCAGTATCAGCATCTGCTCGACAAGGCGACTCCGCACGTCCTCCACCGTTGGATCGCCTGCTTAGTCGTTGTCTTCGTCTACGTTGTCCGCGTCTACATCATCCAGGGGTTCTACATCGTCTCCTATGGTCTAGGCATTTACATCCTCAACCTTCTCATCGGATTTCTTTCCCCACAGGTTGACCCCGAGATCCAGGAAATCTCTGATGGTCCATCCCTTCCAACGAGGGGGTCCGATGAATTCCGTCCTTTCGTTCGTCGGCTCCCGGAGTTTAAGTTCTGGTAAGTTTTAGTTTTTTCCCTCCAAATTAACCTTGTGGTTTTATGTTTGCTGTTTGACATTTATGATTGGCCGTATTAGGTTTTCTGTATGTTCACTGGGGATGATTCTAAGCCAGATTCTGTCTTGACGTACTTATGGAACTTTGTTGGGTTCTTGTACTAGTGTACAGAACCATTTGCCGTATACAAATTCAAGATTAGGGTTTTGTACCAATACAATTCATGGGCCGAGTTTGTGTATCAGCTTCACTTGGAAGTGTGAGCGTAATGGTTAAAAAATGAAAATTTAGAGTTGAGGCTTTTGAGGACTGGGACATGGCTGCTATTAATTTATTTGTGATGAGTTCCTGACGCGATATTTGGTGCGGAGAATCAATTAGGGAAATCAGGTCATTGCGTGGGTGGGTCAATTTGCTTCATCTTTAAAGCCTGACTGTGCTATCTTTTTTCCATATCACCAAACATGGGAATCAGCTTAACCGAGTTTAGTCATGTCTTTGTGGGAAATTTTATTTGTTGATTACTAATGTGCTAATTATGGTGTAACTTAATGTTGGGTATGTGAAAGGGCCTGTAGAAAATTTTATTTGTTTGTTACTAATGTTGCTTGTACTGAAACTGCTTAATTTTCTTTTGTGGCAGGTACTCGATCACGAAGGCATTTTGCATTGCGTTTGTGATGACCTTTTTTAGTGTTTTTGATGTACCTGTGTTTTGGCCAATTCTTCTCTTCTACTGGGTAGTCCTATTCTCCCTTACCATGAGGAGACAGATATCTCACATGATCAAATACAGATATGTGCCGTTCACATTTGGGAAACAGGTAAAATCATTCTTGTTTTTAAATGTCACATGTGGTGTCAGTTCATTTTGAAGTACTGAGCAGTATTCAGGGTCATACATGTTACTGATTAAGATTTTGTGTGTTATTTTTAATTTAGCGCTATGATGGAAAGAGAACAACGGCAGAGAGCTCAACCCTTTCTCCTAGGGACTGAATCCTTCAGGTTGATCGAACTTTATTTGCTTCATTTAAGTCGCAGGTCCACAAGTTGCTTGATTGCATATGCAGTATTCTTTGAACAGCTGGAGCAATCTGAGTTTATTATGCCTGATGAAGATTACCTCGAGGACAAGTTTGGGCATCCTCGATATGCATCGTTCAGTCGAGCACTGGTGTCATTTGGGAAGTCCTAACGACCTAGTGAAAGATTTAGTTTTGGGGAAGGGAGGGGGTTGCTGAGGGCTCCTTCTAGTTTTCTTTTAATATTTCGTTTTTCTAATTTCTTATTTCAATATAGGTGGCAATTGCCATCATCTTATTGCTGAATTCTTATTTAAAATGACATGAAATTTTATTGAGTCTGTGTAGAAGGCATCCCTGCCATAATTTGCAATGAGTTTATAAGTATACTGATCAATCTATTGTAGTGAAAGTAATTTTAACCAATCTTTTTCGATAGCTGAACTGTTGTGATTGCTTTTCCGAGAATTTATTTTTTCTTGATATTGGTTTTATTTTTACATCTACCAAGTATCCATATGGAGCTAACATAAGGATACGATCCTACTGTCAAGACTTCAGATCATCTTAGCTAAATCGAACCACCTTTAGAATCACTGAAAAAGAATTACCTGCGAAAACCCTATATACAAAACTGGAAAATAAAATAAAAGGAAAAAGTGTACTTGATCCCCATATAATGTTTTACAGTGGAAATGATCAAATAAACAATTCAACAACGTCATTCCAACGTCCCCGTATCCACGCAAGGATTACACGCTCAATTTCTTGGTTGTTTAACTTGATGAAAGAGAATGGCAAGCCCAGATGATGCATTGATGGACGCAATTGAAGAGATGACCCTGGGAAGGACGTAGCCGCCAGATCTGTAATAGCCATATATAATGTAGTATGTTTGTGCAAAAGTCATGAGCAACAAAACCACAGCAGCAACCAAAGAAATAATGGCCCAAGGACTACTGAAGTAATCATGTTTTAAGCTTGCACGTCAAGTATTGCATCTGTGATCGTAATACCGATTCACAGCCTCCGATAACGGCGAAAGGAAACTATTATTGAGGTCAAATACAACCTCTTGACACAACGATTGAAGAGATCAGCAACTTCAGCAACACTTCCAAGCCAATGCTCTATAATTCCACAGTAATGAAGATACCCCACATCCGCTGGAGAGTTAATCAGATTGTCCATGAAGATCACATACGAGGTGATATCATTACTGCAATCTAGATGACACTGTTCAAATGCAATGAGGTTTGGGAACAGAGACTTCGTACCATCATGAATCAATAACCTCGGCATCCTCAGAATCCCATTCTTAAATTTTATATCCCAGAATCTATCAGTCTTCCTTTTCTTGAACTTGATTCCAGCCTCTCTAAGCTCTGTCACAAATGCATCAACTGTTGGCGTCGTTTGTCAGCAACTCTATGAGCATGTGACCATCGTTTGATCCATACTCTGGGAAGTGATCACTGAGGTCCTGTACGCAATAGACTTCTCCGAAAACACATCGAGACAGTGAGACCATCTCGATCACCCAAAGGGTCAAATGGGGCAGTACCTCGAAGAGATGATTCCAATTTGCTTATGTCACTTTTCGTTGAAGGCTTGTCTGTTGGCATTAATGGGTCGAAGAATCTCAGCGCTAAATTCGCAACAAGCCCCGTGAAATTTGGGTTACCCAATTGAATCCCCAGAGGAAGATCTAGCACGAGCAGCGGAAGCTGATTCTCCAACATTATCATGTTTCTCTGAATCGAATGCATCGACCCACGTATCGCGAAAATGGGGTCATTTCTAGAATATCCTAGCGTCTTAAAACACTCTGTAGCTCCCCTGAACAGCTCGAGCACAAAGCAACCATCAAGAATCAACATTTCCACGAACTCTTTGCTGCTTAAACTGATGGGTCCTTCATAAAAGGACCTTGCTCTTTCTTCGATCTCTTTCATGGAGTCGTCTTTTGCCATGGTGATACGGACCCAGTGACACGATTTGGGGCACAAAAGCCTTGTCATCTCCACCACTATCTCAGAGGGAATGGGGAATTCGGTGGATTGAGATTTTAGCCCACGAGCTTGCTGCGTCATCTTGACGAGCCTGATCGAGTCTTTCCTTCATGGAGAGATTACCCATTCAGAATCTGGTGACTTTTCTTCTAGCGAATTTTCACCGTGTTCTTCGTTGGTGGTAGTCTGCAATGAATCTGGAGGTATCTGTTCTGGCAACTCAATGGATCGGCTACCCGAAATCGGAGAAGATGGGTTTCCGGGTCGTAAAGTTTCTTTGAGCTTGAGGGTGATAAGATACCAGCTTAAGAGCTCTTTGTTGAACACGGCCACCATCTCTGTCAGTGGCTCGAAGGAAGAGTTTGATTCAGATGATAAAAATGAAGAAGGAAGCTAATATTATGATGCAAAAAGAGTTTCTATGTGTAATGATCTAAACAAATTTTGCAGCATATATTCATATTTAATAAATGAAGTGAACAACCTTCTGCCTCTATCATGGAATATAAACAATCTTCTCATAAATTTTGGGGATTATGATCACACTTCCTTTCTCTCTAAGCACATCACACTTGCGTACATACAATTCTATATGCATCCGATTTACCCTATTATTTGGCAAGTGGTAACAAAAATGAAAGGTTCTAGTACTTTTTCTTCGTTGACTTGTGATAGGAAATTTAGGTATATCCGGTAATGAATTCACTTATCATTTTATTTGAAGGGTTCGCTCCTGGAAAATTCTAAAATTAATTTTATAGGTTCAAAGAACAAAAATTTTAAAATAATCTTATATTATAAAATTCATAAATTCTTTTTAATTTTTGTCCATACTTTCTTCTCATTCATGTTCATTATTGTCCAAAATACTCTTTGCTATTAAAATTTAGGTAAATGAATAAATTACTTCTTTAAATTTCAAATCCAGTAACACATAAAATCATGAATTTATTTATTATATAAATTACTTTCTTAATTTTTAAAAATTGTGCAATTTGACACCCACTATTAAAAAGAAGAAGTTAATTTTGAATATTAATTGACAAAAAATGACAATTTTAAAAATTATAAAAAATGACCCAAATTTTTTTTGGTTCTTTTTCTGTAATTTTTGAAATTTTTTTAGTATTTTCTAATCAATTAATAGTCAAAATTAATTTTTATTAACAGTAGAGGTAAAATTACAATATTTTCAAAAGATAAAAAAATAATTTACACAATAAACAAGTTTCAAGATCCATAATGGTATTAGACCAAAAAATTTAAGATTAATTTACTCATTTACCTTAAAATCTTCATCCTTTTGTCTATTAAAATGTTTTTAAGACCTAACTTTTTTAGCAAACATATAGTATATGATGTATGGTATAATTTGGTCTAAGTTTTGGAAACTGGAAGCATAAGCAATATAAGTTTTTCATAATCAACATTAATACGTCCATGTTAATAAAAAAATTTACGACAATTACACTATCATCAGCATAAAATATTTAATTTATAACTCATTTTTTAAATTTAAATTTAAATACATGAAAAAATAAAACGGTCAGCCGAAAAAGAAAATAATCCTGCACGTGCTAGGTCCCATTTATTAATCGGGGAAGGTGCGTGGATGAAGTGACGTGGGGCACGGACGAGGTGGAAGAAACGTGAAAGAAATTGGTAACATTTAGAATTATGCAATAATTGCAGCATGTCCTCTTCGTTTATGACTAAAATAACTCAAAACGCAATGATTAAATATATACAGTTTCTGATTACCCGGTCTGCACGCTTGCTAGAATGTGTGAGAAGAGGATAGGAAATGTTACTGCTTTATAGATTGTGAATGTTAGATCTTCAATCTCTAAAAAGATGTTGCTGGGGGAAAAAACTCTAAAAAGATGTGAATATTTTATTTGCCGACAGGAAGGGTCCCCAAGTTCAACACTTTACAGTTATAAAGAAATTTCAACTTTTCAAATTATTGTATGCTTATTCTATTTATAAAACATATTTTAAAAATTTATTTAATTTTATTTATAAATTATGGTATAATTTTTTTAAATAATATTTAGAAATATTTTTAAAAATATCTTTTATAAAAGAAAAAAAAGTATGATATCACTTTTATGATTTATTTTATAATAATATATTTAAAATTTTACTCCCTTCATTTCTATATATACAGTTTTAAAAAATTAGTTAATTATAATAATTATGTCTAAAAATAAAAAATTATATTAAAATATCTCATGTTAATTAATATAAACATGCATTAATTATTTTTCATTAATGTAAATTATGAGTTGTAATTTAAAAAATATATAATAAATATTTATTGAAATAGGTAATTTTAAAATAAGTAAAAAGTGATAGTTTTTTCTATAAATAACATTGGAAGAAGTATATTTTTTTAATTTTTTATTTTTATATTAATAATGATGAGATTAATAAAAATAATTTATAAAAAAAATTGAAGGAATACCACCGTGATAGGTCCTATTTGGAATTTTGCTATTTTATTTGTTCTGTTTTTCCGAGTCTCTACTTGCCATGTTATTAAAGAAAAATATGTTACTGTCTCCGATTCTATATGTGAGGGTTTTTTTTTTTAACTTAATTCATAGAGATTACGAAAAATAAATAAATTCGTTGCTCGCAACTTATCTGTCAATAATTTGAATCTTAAATTGAAACATTTGGAAAAATGACACATTATATAAGGTTACTCTGGAAAAAAGATTTAATGTTTAAGAGTTTATAAAAAGAAAAAACAATTAATAATTAAGTAGTCAAGTAATACCTATAAAAACGTGATAGATATTCCTTCCATCCCATCATATCGATCAAGAAATAAAACTCATCCGATCAGACTGACATGAGTTAAAATATGGAAATATCTATCATTCATGCCAATGTTGACCAAACCATTGTTGCTAATTAGCAAAAGTGTATGTATAAAATAAAATCTTATCCTTTCCTGAAATAAATAAATAAACCTTGTCCTCTTGGCCCAAAAATAAACACAAAGCCTTGTGCATGAAGTCTTTTTAGGCCACCGGTCAATGAAATATCAATCTCAACTAACATAATCCCAATGGCAGACCGTATCCTCTTTAATTTGCTCTTTTACTCAACAGCATGACGGGAAACAGTAGACTTTAAAGTAATTATGTAAGATCACCAGAATGGTGCTGCTTATCTAGAAGCCAATAATTATCCAATATTTGAGTTGAACTTTCGAAATGCTTAATAGATAAACAATTAGGAAAATAGCACTTCGATACTTGCCTAGTTCTCTTGGAATCAAACATGTACCCAGTGTTATTGATTTAGGAGAAGCAAAATGGTAAATCAAACTTGTCACCTTGAAGAACAATTGAGGTGCAGAAGTCTTGGGCAGTCAATGGATAAACATTCAAAATAAGTAACACGCAGTGGCAACCACAGCAACGGACTTCCAGGTTCAGTTTTTGTGCGCATGAATTATATACATTAATCACAATATCAATAAGCACAACTAAATTTATCTTTAGTTAACTCAAGACTATCCCTGACCCTGACATTCTGAGAATAAGGGAACATAAACATCACTTTCTCGCACCTTTTAGTGCTCATTCCTCTTTCATGTCCAAAAGGGATTCTGAAGCAGAATGTGTGTTAAGCACTGCTAATTTTCATTTCATTACGTCCGTAAGTTGTAATAGGATTTGCAGAGATAAGGCTGTTCTTAACAGGGTACAAGGCCTCCATTGCGATTCCACATTTGCCAGTAAAGGTGCTTCGGACATTACGTTCTATCTTGATATAACCAGCTTCACCCCAGCTAGTGCCCCATGAGTTCCTCACCAGCCAATAATCCAGACCATTTTCAGTACCATATCCCACAGCAACCACAGCATGGTTTATGTTTGCCCCGCATTCGCCAGTAAACACCCCCTGAACATGATAAAACAAGTATATAATTATCCCACTCATATCTTAGACTTCTTGTACAACAGTTCAACTAGAGAATTCATTGATAACATCATATTGAAAGATTGGCTAGGATTAGATGCTCCTATCTTATGTGTCATGGTCATACTCAAATAAGACAAGAAGGAATACAAAATAACTCAGAGGGTGAGGGAAAGAGAATGATCACAAAATACTGATATCAAATAATAGCAGTTACAAGATTAGAAAACAGAGCATGCATAAACATTCAATGGAAAAGTAGAACGAGAAGAGAAATAAAGAAATACTGTGTCCAGAGAGGGAAGAGAATAATCAGAGGGAAAAGGGAAGAAATACATCAGAGAGAAAGAGACTCATCAAAATCATCGACACCCTACTCATTCCACCCTCTTATCGTATATAGCATTGGGTTCATATTTAGCATTTCTCTCCTTTCTGTTATTTCTAACAGCATCACACAAAGCAGCAGAGGCACTTCCACTCTTCTTTAATGATCCCAAACCACGTGTCCTTCTTGGTTCCCACAAATATTTGGATGACTCGTGACAATTAGATACTCCTATCTTATGTACCAAGCAATAGGTAAAATCAGACAGAGCAAATAAGGTTAGCCATTTCAGGTGAGAGAGAAACCCTTACATTTCACCAATTATCTGAAGACAAACCACTTAGGGCATTGCTAAACTAATGATAAAGATTGATTTTCTGCCATCTCAGAGCTCGCCTCAATGGTATAGAAACCATTTCTCTCAATTTGTTCGTATCTCCATACAGTGTAAAGTATCCTATTTATACTAACGCGATAGGGAGGGGATTAAAGTTGAATTTAATAAAAGGGATTAATGCTTATTATTAAGCTAAACGTTTATGGAAAACGGGAGTGAGTGGACTGGCTGCGTTAATGGAGTTGGACGGCGTAAACGGCGGTGCTGCAATGCTGTGGCTGGCGTTATTCCGTTTCACTCAAATTCTCAGTCTATTTTAACACTGTAGACATTAGAAGGTATACAGTAATACAACTGAGCTTACCGACTGATAGAGCTGAAAATCCCTGCCAGTGGCTTCAATGGCAACGCTAACAGGCTGATGAGCCACCGCTTTCTTTAACGCATCCTCATTAAACGGTGGAACACGCTCGTAACCGTCAATTTTCACCGCTGTGGCATTCTTCTGCAGCAGAACAACAAAACAAGCACCATCATATTGATTAGAGAACGAACCAAATTGACTATAATGCTCGCGACTTGCTCAATTCAACATTCGAATGCGGACCTTGATTGGATCGCATTTGCCATCGACGCCAAGGTATGGGTAGTCATCTTCTGTGTCAATGCCGCCATTTTTGACGATGAAACCGAAGGCGTAGTCCATAAAACCCCCGTGGCAACCATTGTTGTGGGATGTATCGCAGTCCACAAGCTCTTGTTCTGACAAAGAGACGAGCTCGCCTGTGACTATCTTGTTTATAGCTTCCACTGTGGCCACTGTAGAGAACGCCCAACAGCTTCCTGCGTCCAGTCAGGGAAAGGTCAAACCGTCCAGGCTCTATTGGGCCTCCTTAGCGCAATAACACCCGCTTAAGTAGAAACAATATTTTGAACACATGGGAAAAAGGAGAAAGGGGAAAACTGACCACAAGATCCCTGATCTTTGATTGGATTAAGGGCAGCTTGCAACCTCCAATCCACATGCAACGGCAACTTATCACCGTCGTTCAAAGCATAACGACAAGACGCCCTCTTGGCCTTGACGACCCTGCCTTTCGAGTCAATGCCCAGGTACATGGCTGCATACTCATCGTTGGTCAAATCAGCAAAACCATTCAACCCAAGCTTGTAGGTGCGATTTTGAGCGTTATGCTCGTCAATGTATTTAGGTTATCCTTGAAAATCTCGAACCTCTTAACTCTCTCTCCCAATCCATTACTGTATAAAGTCTTTCTGTGTTTCAGTAGCCACTCTTCGTACATGCTCATTACTTCCTCGTCGCTTCTCGTGGACGCGTCCGCGGCCAAAGATGAAGTGAATAGAAGGAATAAGAAGGTGAGTATTGGCATCGCAGGAGCCATGGTTGGTGATGGAACGTAGAAGAAGAGTATTAGTGGAAGCTTGAAGAGAAAGGGTCTGAGAAGTGAGAAGCGAAGGCTTTGGAGCTAAAGAGAGGTTGGTGCTGAAGAAAAGCTGATCAGGAGAAGGGTGAGAGTTGATATAGAAATGAACCTGAACTAACTCCCACAACATGTGGACTTACCGGTGTGTTTCAAACTTTGGAAGCTGGAACAAACATGGAGCTGCTAGCCAATAGGATATCGCCACGTGTAGAACGTGGCAGGGTGCGCACAGGTTTCTTCGAGGCCAGGTATCTGTCGCGTTAAACTGTTAATTAATTAGCAAATGAGGACTGACTTACAGAGCCTAACAAAGGAGAACTTGTACGCTTTTAAGTTCTTTTTTTTTTTTATTCAATACAGAAATATCATTTTCCCCCAAATTCCACACTCACTCTTACCAACAACCCAAAGCCCACCAACCAACCCCTCAAATCTCATATTCTGCACTTGTTACTAAATGTATATGTAAATTAGCGTATGGGTGTAATATTTTTCACCTGTTTATCAAAAATCTGTTTTTCACCTTGTGATAGTTTTGGAATGGCTCCGACAGCTCTTTTTGATATCCTTTAGCTTTATACTACAATTACAAACACTATGCTTTCCTGGCATCTTTATTTCAGTTTACTTAGCCGACAAGGCATCAAAATAATTCCTAAGATCAGGTTTTCTTTGAACGATGAATGACCAGGAATTTTTTAAAACAACAACAAACTAGACGAGCAGGTCATGTGACCTAAATAGTTGTACATTGCATATCTTTAGCAGGAGACTTGAATTTAATAAGTGTGTGACTCAATTATAGTTATTAAATTTTATCAATACTTTAAAATTATTAAGATATATATATATATATATATATTACAAATTCAATGCAATCATCATAATGAAAATATTTGTTACTTACAATGTCCCTTCTAAAATTTAGAAAAGTGTTTGGTTTTTACACATTTAACATTTAAAGTGAACTTTTAAACTTTTAAAATGTTAAAAGTTACTTGAGTAATGTTTTAAAAAGCAAAATAATTTTAAAAAAGTAAATTGAACTGAATTTAAAATATAAATTTTGAAATTCTACTTTTTTATGGATTTCAAATGGGAGTGGAATAATTATGAGAAGAATAATTGTGTACCTAATTTTTTGAATGACCAGTATACCCTTCACTGTATTTCATATTTGTCTAATTTAAAATAATTTGTTTTAATATTTAATTAATTCTTATAATTTTTATTTTTTATTGGCAGATAAATATTATTTAGTGGATGTTGGCTATCCAACACTACATCAATATTTAAATCCTATAGATCTCATAGGTATCACTTCTCAAATTTCATGTATGCATTTGAATTTACAAAATAATAATGAGGTTTTCAATTAATTCTCATTCAAGTTTAAGAACCACAATTGAAACGACTTTTAAAATTTGAAAAATATATTCGCAATCTTATGACACATGCCTAGCTATTCGAGAAGAAAATCTATATTTGACTCTGACTTTAGACATTTTGAGAATGAAAATAATTGTTAACACTTGTGATGATAATGATAAACATGCATTTTCATCATCAATTTCAAGTGCAATTTTAAATGTGGCCTCTAATAACAAGATGAATAAGGATCGTGATTCTATTAGAGATTATATTATATATTATAGGTCAAATTGTTAATCAGGTAACTATTCAATATTAATGAATGTTAAACTATTTATTACGTAATTTTTTTCAATATTAAACTATATATTTTTTATTCTTATTATTTAACATCTTAAATTTTATCTTATTTTAATTTTTTTCACATTTTTAAACATTCTAATGTATTATATTTATAAAATAAAAATTATAAATTATCATAAATTAATGTTCTTTTTTATCATTATATATTCAAAATACATTTCAAAAATATAAATTATTATTAATTTAAATAATTTTTAATTTGCTGAATTGATTTTTTTAAAAATATATCTAAATATAAATTTTATAATAACAATTAATTTTTTTTAAATGAATTTTTAATAAACTAACTTTTAATAAATTGAAAATTAAAGATATACTAAATTTGATATTTTTTTAATATTATATAATAAATTTTTTTTACAGTTATTCAATTAAATTGTTATCATCCCACCACCAGGTTTGCCGTTTATTTAACCCAGTCTTTTTACACAGGAAAGGATTTTCAAAAACCCACTTTATCGGAAACATCGCGTCATCGTCGGCTCCTGTTGAAGACCTTGGAAGGAAACTCCTACGATACTCGCCATTGGCGGCGATGGGTTGCTTGGTGAAGCCCATCGTACGCCCATGAATTTCAAACGCCTCACTGTTTCCCTATTCTCTCTTCACCGTCATCATCGTCTCAATAGGTATTTTTCAGCGGCAACCCGTCCTCTAATGGCTTTTCCTCTTGCCAAAACCCCCACCCAGATCCCAACCGATTCTCCCTATTCTCAACCCGTCGAAGAACCTGACAACCTTATTTGCTCTGATCAGAATCAAGACGAAACTCGACAGGAGCAAGAATGTTCACTTTTTGCGCCAGATACGGGGCCGTCTTGCTTGGATTCTCCGGCGAGGTCTTTGACAGGGGTTTCTAGAGTCGAATTTTCCTGGGCTTATTGGACTAAGTTGGGTCGACCCAAATACTTAGTCGCCCCGATGGTTGATAATTCGGAACTACCCTTTCGAATGCTTTGCCGCAAATATGGTGCCCAGGCTGCATATACTCCTATGTTGCACTCTCGCATTTTTACTGAGACCGAAAAGTACAGGAAAGAAGAGTTCACCACTTGCAAGGTAATTTGAAATGCATCTGACTGTTTACGTTAAGTTAAAGGAGTTGCTTGATGTTCCGTCTAGCTGCGTGATTTATTTGCAATTTTTCCCTTAATGTGGGAACACTGCAGGAGGATCGACCTTTGTTTGTCCAATTTTGTGCGAATGATCCTGATACATTGCTGGAAGCCGCCAGAAGGGTTGAACCGTATTGTGACTATGTTGATATCAATCTAGGGTAATTGATCTTTTGCGTACTATTTACTCAATAATCTATTTTTTGATTGTATTTCCCTGCCAGTGCCCAGCCAGAGCACATATGGTTCCACAATGAGCTGTTTTTAAGTGAATAACTTGATAGGACCTTAGCACGGGAAATGTGATATGTGAATAAAGGAGTCTGCTAAAAATGAGAATTAGGCCTAGGCATGCTTGAAATCTAATGCTTGGTAGTTTGACTCCTTTCAATTCGCTATCCAAAAGATGTGTTAGGCTTATATAACACTGATCCAAAGAATTAGCCCTTTCAAAGGTTTGGCATGAATAAAATCAACCGTTATTAAGTGCAGTATTTGGTTGCACTCTCCCATTTTCAGTCGCAAAAAGTTAATGATATCTGAAATATTAATGAGAGAACACGGAGAAGCGCCTAACCAGGTGCCTCAGATTGAGATAATACACTTTGTATTTAATGAAGCCCATCTGGTGTGTGCTCCGACACTCCTAATCAAAATTTTGGTGGAATTATGTGGTTCTGTAGGTGTCCTCAGCGCATTGCTAGGCGAGGAAACTATGGCGCCTTCCTAATGGATAACCTTCCTCTTGTAAAATCTCTAGTGGAAAAATTGGCTCTCAACCTCCAAGTGCCTGTTTCATGCAAAATTAGAATCTTTCCAAACTTGGAGGATACATTAAACTATGCTAGGATGCTAGAAGAGGCTGGCTGTTCGCTCTTAGCTGTCCATGGCAGAACAAGGGATGAAAAAGATGGGAAAAAGTTCCGAGCTGACTGGAAAGCCATCAAGGCTGTGAAGAATGCTGTGAAAATTCCAGTCCTTGCCAATGGGAACATAAGGCACATGGACGACGTTTGTGACTGCTTGGAAGAGACAGGAGTTGAAGGGGTGATGTCGGCTGAGACTCTGCTTGAAAATCCAGCCCTTTTTGCAGGATTTCGAACTCCTGAATGGGCGACGGGGAGTGGAGTAGCCAATGTAGATGGAAAATTGGACCAGGCAGATTTGCTAGTAGAGTATCTAAAGCTTTGTGAAGAGTACCCCGTACCATGGAGAATGATCCGTTCCCATGTTCATAAATTGTTGGGAGACTGGTTCAGCCTTCAGCCTCACATAAGAGAGGATCTTAACAAGCAGTCTAGACTGAGTTTTGAATTTCTTTATGAAATCGTCGATAGGCTTAGGGAGACAGGTACAAGAATTCCACTTTATCTCAAAGATACGGAAACGGGTTTAGCAGCAAACGGTTAGTCATACTGATACGGCCGCAGGCCAACGATTGGAGTTCAAAGTTAAATTAGAACCTCATAGTTTTTACTCGTTATGCCGGGCATAACCAGGAGGATTATTCTTTCTCTTGGGATGCAGTTTTGTTGCTTTTACAATTCACGTTGGTTCAAATCAGGGAGTTTCCTCCGTGTTGTATTGACTCCATTCTTAAGTTATTTGACAGTGTTGTACGCCCAATAGTGTCAAGACCCTGGTTTTTGCACTGTGCTGACGTATGTGATTGGCCAAGTCTGAATTGGTTAAGAATTCTTTCTCTTCCTTTAGACGATTCACTGTTGAATGGTGGTTGTTGGTTATGGTTCTGGATTTGGCGAGTGTGGTAAGCTTAGCAATTAGGGTATAATAAAAACAGAGGCGAATAGTTTCTGGCCGGATCTGTGCTCTGTTATCTTGTATATCATACTTGAAAAGACATCTCTCAACTGTATCAAAGAAGACGCCTGCCATTGGTAAAACAGTACATGGGTTCTGACATTAATCTATCAACATTGAGATTTGCACAAAAGTAGAAGATTCTCTTTTGATGATTTTGATCGTGTTTTCTGATCCATTGATTGCAAGGGAAAAAATCATTTTAGAAAAATGTTTGCTTGAAATTTAAAATACATGTCATCTTGATTGCAAAATATATTACCTTGATTTTGTCTTCCAGGTGCCAAACGAATTAGCTCATTAAGGTAAGCAACACCGATGTACAGATTTGAGAATCCCACTTTGTATCATGCCTTGTTCCTTACTCTAGGGATATCATCATTAATCATATGTATTTTATCATCGAACTTGTAATATTTTCCATTCTACTAATCATCATTATCTCATGATGATTTCTTGGTCTTTTTTTTTTTGTCTAACACTAACTCTCGTTCCTCCATTTCTTTTATTTATTTATCTATCATTTTAAAAGTCAAACAATGTTAATTACATCTTTATTTTTACTAAATACTCCTTCGTTTTAAATTATAAGACGTTTTTAGATAAAATTTTACATACTAATAAATCTTATTAAATATACTTAACAATTTTATCTTTTCAAAATAAAAATATAATCTTTTAAAAATACTCATCATTTAATATATTAAAATAAGAAGTGATGAAAAATTAATTATAAAGAGATATAGAGTAAAATTAAAATTGATGCATTTAATGAAATATTAATCTACCCAAAGTGTTTTATATTTTTGATAGAGAAATTTTTTTAAAAGTATTTTATAATTCGGAATGGAGGGAGTACAATTATGGGATAAAAGAGATAATTAAGGGGAGAATAAGAAAAAAAAATTAATGACATTAAAAATTTAATAGAAATGCCGACATAGTAATTAATCCATGTATAAAATTTTTAAATCATGCACGCAAGTAAAAAAAGGAGATGAAGAATAGAAAATAATAATTAAGGAGAACAATAAGCAAGATGACGAAACTTCTGAAAGCAACGTATAGAATAGAGGAGTCTGCGGTTTTACATGAAGCTGAAGTGAAAAGTGAACGATGTGATTTTTTTTATGTTTGTGTACATAAATTTTAGCATATCCATGTATTCCATCAACATGTTTCTGCCAACTATAATCTACTCCCTTTATTAAAAAATATAAAATATTTTTTAAAAAATTAAATGTTAAAAAATATAAAATATTTTTAATTTTTTAATATATAATTATTACATTTTTGTAAAAGTGTTAGATCACTTTATATTTTAAGAGTGAAATACTTTATTAAATAGAGATAAATATAAAAAAAATGTTAATTTAAAAATAAATAACTACTTTATTATAAAATTTAAATAAAAATTATTTATATTTTTAAACGAATGGAGTATATATTATGTCTTTATCTACTTTATTAAAGATAAAATTTAAATAAAAATTATTTATATTTTTAAACGAATGGAGTATATATTATGTCTTTATCCCCCCATGTGTTGACTGGTGAGGGATGATGTCCGAAACAGGGTTACATTTGTTATTTGTTATCCTACCAACAATGGAGAAATATTATCTTTTTTTATGTAAAGAAAATATTATCATTAAATGATCTTTTTTATTAAAATGTATATTATCATAAAAGATTTAATAAAAATTTATTTTATGTTGTTAGGATATTAAGTGTAAGTAAACTTTGATGTGATTACAAATGTTATATTAGATAAAGTTGAGTTTAAAAACAAGTTTATACATTAAAAAAAATTACAGTTTTGCATAAAAGTAGTGTCAAGCACGCCTATTCATTTAACAAGCTTAGTTGATGCACCTAATCCTTTGCTGAAGTTTAAGAAGCCAACCTTACTGTCAGTGTTTTTCAAACATCTGAACTCTTGAATACAAAAGCAGAGTATTGAATCCTTTTTCTCTTATTTGCATAAATAAGAAAGTCCTATTTTAGCTTCACACACACACACACACAGACAGAGAGAGAGAAGCTTTCAAAATTCAATTTCAATGAGTTGGAAGATAATTAAAAAGAATATGATGTGGAAAGACAAATTTTAGAGTACAAACAGCAAATACAATCTTTCTCTAGCTTATAAGCAACATCTCAAGTGAAATTTGAATGGTTGGATTCTTTGAAGAGATTACAATTTTCAGTGCAAGAAAAGGAAATGGAAGGAAAAAAGAATTATTTTTTACAAACCCCAGCCAATGTCTTGAACAAAATAAAGCAACAATCAAAAGGATCATAAATACCCAGATTGACCTGTTTGACTACGAGGACTAAACTGAGTAGGAGCTTTATAGCAGTCTTGACGACAAACACTTGAAAGATTAAGAAGAAGAAGCCATTGATGACGGTGAAGACTGATTCTTACAATACTGAATACTGCTCTCGTCCATCTTCTCCAACACGTAATGCCCCAAAGTCTCACTTTCCTCCACCAAATTCTGCTTACACAGAAACTCATTCCCATACAGTTTCTCCACCTCACCACCAAAGTCATGCACAAACACGTGCGTCTTCGGATTCCCGACCTTCTTGCTTCTAGCCAGCACGCCCGCCGTGAATATCGCCGCCATCCTTCCAGGCGCGTCAGGCCAATCGCCACGTGGGCCGTCCACCAATATCACATCCCAGCTCAGCTCGTACACATGGTTCGGGAGGTCATTGAGTCCTAACTTACATTCCGAGAACAGCAAGTTCTGTACTGGTTTGCACTCCTTCGTTGCCTGCTGTTTCGTTGAAACAAGAAGCTCCTTCATTTCACTCCTCTTGGTTGTGTACTGCACATCATAGGCATCGATTTCAGGGTATAATTCTTCGAAGTACGCAGCGTAATAGCGGTTTTCATCGATGAACACCGTTCTGCCATTGTGATTGAGGGCTTTCCAGAGGAGAGTCTCGTGGGTGAGGCCGAAGATGAGGAAGTTGCACGGCGAAGAGCATTTTCGAAGCACATCGGAGATGGGTTTCAGGTCTGAGTGTGGCATATGGAACGTGTCATTGGATTTTGAAGCATAATGCAGAAGTGTGTTTATTACAGTGACTGATAACCCAGAACCAGGGGCTGGAGAAGAAGAAGATGATGAAATTATGGAGGTTTTTGAGACGTTGGTGATTGAAGAAGATGATTCTCGAGTGTAAATGAGTGTACCAAGAAATGCTAGGGTGAAGAACGAGATAAAGGCCAGAAGCCATATCCGATTGGAGCTTCCTTGTTTTTGGATATACGGGTGAAGGAGGATGAGTTTAGTGTAATTGTTAGTGTTCTTCATTTTCTTTTTCCGATTCTCTGAGCCCTGAGAGACAATTGTGAAAGAAAGGTTGATTATAAAGAAGGGTTAAAGCAATGTGAAGGGAGGATTGAGAGTGACCTGACGGCATTACATTACAATGACACCTTCAAGAAGATCCTTGAACCGAAAACATTGATAAAATCGCGATTTGGTCTAAGTTAATGTTGGTATGACTTGTCCTCATCTGATTCTGATGCGGTTGGTTATATTTACAGTAGTTTATTTCCTAACGTATACTGTTTAATCTATGAGGAGATGGGTTATTTCTGAACCGAAAAACGAGAGAAGAATTTGCACTGTTAAGGAGTGGTTGGACCTGAGATGAGAGGGATGGAAAAGGAAAATGTAGCAGCAGCGACCCAATAACTAATTACAAGCCAGAAGTCGCTTTTCCTTGTTGATTTGAGCTTTATTTCCTACGAAACCTCTCATTCTCTCTCAAGAATATTGGGGAAATTTTCAAAACAAGCAGCTGCTTTGAAGGAGACAAATCACCTGCCACCAGTGAGTGCCCTTTGAATTAGTACATGTGATAATTGTTCATATATTGGTCAGTGGATATATATACACACACAAACCTGGTAGAAGCAAGTTTTCAACCTGGTAGTTCATACCATCAGGATAGTGAGAATTGATACACAAAAACACAAAGCTGTACTTTCTTTGTATTCAAATCAACTACTACTGCTTGTGACCTCAAATATGACATATCCTGATGATGAGTCCTAATAATAAGGTTTTCTTACTTGTCCTCTTTATGTTTTGGTCAAATGAGTAGGCTTAACAACACAGCAATCACAGTATGAACAGCCAAGAGCTCATAGAAATAGACACGTACTCCTAGAGAGTGTTGTATAGCCTCTTCTCCTTATTGTTGCAGCTGGATAAACAAGCATACAAACTTGGGCGTATGAGTGAGAAGGATAGGGTACAGGAAGGTGTTATATTCAGAGGTAAAACTTTCAATTTTTGTCAAGTATTTGTCGTTCAAGAGTGAATTGTTTGTGTGGGTTTTATTGTCCAAAAATGGCTTTGGCCCAGAAGTGACCATTGTCCTGTGCTGTGAAAAGTTCAGTGACATCGTTCGCTGTGCAGGCCTTCACTGGTTTAAGAAGGAGAAGAGGTTTCTTACAATGCCTATTGAAATTGTGAAGGAGAGAAACACGGGGGGTCCTCCATGTGACCTCATAATTTAAGCATATAGATGCCCAATTATGGATGTTTAATAATTGGATTCCTTCATAAACCGGCCTGCTTTAATTTCTGGGGGTAAACTTTTTAGTTTCTCACATTCCAGAAATCCCTGTGCTGTGTAAATTTTGGGGGGTGGGGTAAAAGAAGGGAAGAAAAGGGAGAGATCAGTGAGGTGAAAAACAATTAAAAAAGAGAGAAGAACCTTCTTCTTCTTCTTCTTACTATCTATGCTTAACTTTTTCATTGCATATAATAAAATACTGTAAAGAGTCCATTGAGGACAATCTCAGAGAGCACCAATGATTTCCAGCACGGGCGCCATAGATATAAGAGATTTGCATGCGTTTAATAACAAATTAGCAATAGACTATGGAGAATGACAAATAATCCAATTATAATTGTCAAACTCTCTGATTAACTTTATGAATTCAACGTTTTTACTTTTCTAGCTTACAAAATTGTATTAACTTATTCATAAACTCAAATTAAATATAAATTCGATTAAACTTTTGAGTTTATCGATTTTACGTTTCTAATTTATAAAATTATGTTAACTAATTCATAAATTCAGACAAGATATAAGCTTGGTTAAACTTGTTAAGTTTGTTAATTTTTTTTTATTTAGCCAATTGAGTATATACTATGACAAATTCAAATTATAAAAGTTATAATACTTGGTTCAACAAAAAAAAACTTAAAATGCAAAAATTAATATTAATAAAAAAGAAAAAAAATATCAAAAATAAGTTTTCCTATTTTAAAATTTTTATGTCTTATATATGATAATTTATCAATATAGATAGATTTAATTTCAATGATTTATATTTTTAATATATTTAAATTAAATTATAATCATATATTAATAACTATTTATTCACAGAGGTAAATTCTTATGAGTTTACGATTTGAGTTTGTAATATGAATTTACATTTCTATCATAAGTTTATTTAAATTTACGAGTTTAACAATCATGTCTAAACGTCATTTTTATTGTTATCATGAAACGAGTTCTGGAACAACAAAGACAAAATATATTCAGACAAAATTATTTATATAAAGCTTATTAACATATCATATATTATTTTTATGAACTCTAAATTTAGAATCTTGAATTATATTTTTTTCAATTTAAATATTTTATGCTAATTAAAATCAATATCAATATTAATATATTTAAAAATAGAAAACTGCACAATAATCACTGCATTTTTTTTAGAATAATTTCAGAATTTAAGACCTTTCACAAAAATATATTCAATTTGTATCATTAATCATAGTTTTTCTAACTCTTTTCCATTTAATTCAGACTAAATTTCATGATATAACATTACGTCTCTCACATATAATTTTATTTATCTTTTTTTTATGAACATAGAAAGTAAACCCTACTAATAGCAAAGATTAGAAGATAGACATTTCTCAAATAAATTATCATGCACATAAGAGTTGAAATTTAAACTATCTTTAATTTAACCCCTTTATATATGTGAATGTTGTTTTGCTTATAATTTTTTTAAAAAAAATAAAAATCAAATAATGGCAATTTCCCACTATGGGATGAGATGTAAATGGGGGTCCAAGTCCAATAATGTAAATGGGCGAAGGTGGAGGTCATGATTATTGGAGCAGGACAAAATTAGTGTGGGATTCAAATTTAAGACCATTGTTTCTTTTTTCTTTATTCACCAAGTAGATTAGAAGACTTGGCCTGCACTTAAAGCTGCTATCCATAAAATTAAAATTCACTCGATAATAGCATGCACAGTAACGTGCGAGTAAAGTTCATAGTTGTGCGGCAATTGTATGGACAAACTCATTTCTAAACACATGATCTTTGTCCTTTCTGCAGCTATTCAGCCACTTGAAAAATATTATTACCGCCCATAAGCCATAATTGATAATCCTGTGCGGTCCAAATTTTCTACCTTCTCTTACACACACACACACACACACACATATATAATGGGCTGTATTTAAATTGATGTGATTTGCTTGTTCCTATGGTGCCATCATTGACCCAACATTGCTGTGAAAAGTTAGAAGGCGCTATAATGGTAGAAGGGTTATTAGAATGGGTTTAGAAAATTAGATTTGAATTTGAATTAAAGAATTAGAATCCTACATTTTAAATTTATATATTTAATATTTTTATTTAGGAAAAAATTTTCAAAATCTAAAATAACAAATTTGAAATAATTAACGACAAGAAATGACGCAATCAATAGAAAGAAATATTGTGTTTGAGTTCTAAAGGAGTGTATGAGCGATTGAATAAGGGAGAAAAGTCATGAGAGATGAATGGAGTGTTCTAGTATAGATTTGAAATAATAAGAACTAAATAATTATTATAATAATAAATTTTACTTGAATTTGAATTAAATTTAAATTTATAAATTTTTATCTACTAAAAATAATAGATTTGGCCTAAATTTAAATTCAAATACTCTTAATCAAAACACAACATTATATACAATGCATTGCTATGCTAGAGAAAAAAAATGCGTAAAATCATGTGCTATGTTTTTTTACTTGCTTTCATTTTTATTGTGGTGCATGTTTTAGTTGTAGATATTTACAAAGGAGAGGAGAAATCTTCTTCTTGCCTGGTTTGAAAAACAGAGAAGAAGGAAGAGAAATTTCTCTTTCTTTTTTAAATGTGAGATTATTGAGATTTTAGAGTGAGGAGTGGGGAACGTTTTGTTGGTGTAACAACCAAAATGTTTTTTTATTTTTTTCATCACAAAAGAGGTTGCAAAAAATAATCATTTAATCATTATATTTTTTATTCGGTCAAGCTCAATCGTTAAGATTTAATTTGGTTTAACTCAATTATTTAAATTTGAATTATTTGAATCTATTGGCCTTTGCACTCAAAAAAAAAAATACTTAGCTCTTTAAAAACTAAGTTGTAATTAAGTTATGATACAGGCATTAATAGATTAAATGGTTTAAACTCGAAAGGTTAAACTCCATAAGTTAAATTTTAAGAATTAGGTTACAAATTAAAATTATAAAAATTAAATAATTAATTTTCTGAAAAAAGTTGTTATTTTTCTTTCATTTCAAAGTTGTCCTTGGTGAAATAAGATGCTACAATTTTGTCTCATTGTCTGCTGCTTATAATGAGGTTTATCTACATGCACTCCTTCATTCCAAAAAAGCCTTGTGAGGCCCTCTTTCTGGTAATTTCTCTAAGCATCACGGATCTGCAAGTCTGAGAAAAGACTCACGTCATCATCAAACTTCAAATTAAATTAGAAACCGATCCCGTGGGTTGTACGAGAGATAACAAAATAAACTTCTCTAAAAAAAACCATTTCATATAATAAATATTGAAAGAGTTATATATAAAATAACTAATCATATAACCATTTCATATAAACATTCCTCGTTGTAGTGTGTACACGAAGCCTCAGCTATGAATGTGGAAAATGCCATGAGAGGATGCGATTGTCATTTTAAAAATAAATTTAAGCCAGATGAGGCTATAATTTTTATTTTTTTAATTATAATTTTTTGCCCATTCAAGCCAAATGAGGTTATATACTTAATTATATTGAAATAAATTCTCCATCTCTTCTCTCCAGCTACATCAAATAAGGAAATCTTAAAATCCCTCATTTTTCCTCCATCAAAATCTGTCCTCTGCTATTTCTAGATTAAACCCAAACAATTTTCTGAACGTTTCATTGATGTACAGTATTACGTAAAATCCAATCACAACAAATTGCATTAATTATAACATTTATAATTATCTTACTATATCCACTCCAGTTCTCATGATCATGAACGCAATAACTTCTTGCCGTGCTATCACATGATTCAAATATTGATGCTTTTCTGAGTCAGATTGAGAAACTTTTGTTTCATCAAGAAGGCAAGTGCACAAATATGTTCTTCTTTAAATCTAATTTTAGTTGCTTTTTATTAATTAAATTCGAGCTCAAATCGATGAATCTCTTAGTAAATAAACCTAATTTTAATCTACAAATAACTTAAATGGGAACAGTCGAGGTCAATTGCAAATTAAATTGCCTCTAGAAAAAAGGTCTTGAATCACAGTGCTTTGAAAATGACCATGAAATGCTTATATCTTAACTTGAACGGTTTAAACTAAAATTTAATAAGTTAGCTTTCAGAGAAAATGACAAAATATATTCAAATATGTAAATGATAATTAAGTACCACAAATTGTGATAATTATTATTTAGTCTCAAGGAATCGTTGTCTATCGTTTTTATTTTTGACGAAATGATATATTTACTCTCAATAACTATTATGAATTAGAAAATGACTATTTTAATTGGACTAATAGTTATCAACTAAAACAAAATAGAAAATAACTGCTTTTTTTTTAAAAATTTATGATTTATAAAGGAATTACAAAATGATTATGTTTAAAAAAAATAAATACTTTCTTTACGAAAATAATTGTTTTGGTTACATTTGATTAATAAACAAATTTGAAAAATGGAAGTGGCCATTTTATATTCCACTTTAATCAATAACACAAGGAAAATAATCATTTTCTAGCGTGTAATACTCATTGAACGCAAATATATTATTTCATCAAGGGAAAACAGAACTTAAAATACATGTACTTTGTTTGTACTTTTTTTTATTTAAGATTTTTATACTTTTATTTTTTTCAATATTTTTTGATAAAAGGACACATAGCAAAACTTAAACAAAATACGAAAATCTAAAGTTATATTTGTTGGTGGTATGGAAGTGAGCTGCTTGAGTCATATTCAAAAGGATATTGTCTTTAAAAATTATTCTGACGTCAGGATAATGAACCGGTAGTACCAACAGAAATAATTCTTGACCTGTTTCGGGTGCGTGATCTCCTTTCTTTTCTAAACCCATTTTATTAGTATATTTTATTTTTTAATATTTATACACTAAGAGCACTATTTATTTAGGTAATATGAGACTTTTAACACACACTATTACTACAATAATATTTTCTCTTTTATCAAAAATCAAAATGCAAAATAAGGTTTTAAAAATTAAATAATAATTATCATATTTCATGATGCTTAATTGTAATTTATATATTTTAAAGTATTTTTTTTCATGTTTTTAAATTTTATTTTATTTTTTAAAAACATGGAAAATATATGCATATTTGCTCTCATCACTCTTCAGTGCATGGGGGCTCACTTGCGCGGCTCTCCAATCCCACTCAATGCCTCACTTCTACATCAACAGATGGAATTGGGCCTTAGTTCAGACGCCATCCTATTGAACCATTCACAATCACGAATTCACGATGCCTCATTCCAAAGCTCTCTTTCCCCTCTTCTTCTTTTACTTCACCATTCTCACCACCGTCGTCTCCGATCATCTTCCGGCCACTTCCTCCAAACTGCTCATCTCCTCCGATGCCGTCTCATTGCTCTCTTTCAAGTCCAAAGCCGACCTCGACAACAGGCTCCTCTACACTCTTCACGAGCGCTTCGATTACTGTCAATGGCAAGGCGTCAAGTGCGCGCAGGGCCGAGTCGTTCGGTTCTTCCTTCAGGGCTCTGGCCTTCGTGGCGTCTTCGCTTCCGACACCCTCACTCGCCTCGACCAGCTTCGAATCCTCTGCCTCCGCAATAACTCCCTCTCCGGTCCCATTCCCGATCTCTCTCCTCTCTTCAACCTCAAGGCTCTTCTTCTCGACTACAATTTCTTCTCCGGTTCGCTGCCTCCCTCGTTTCTTTTGCTTCATCGTCTTCGTACCCTTTCTCTCTCTTATAACAACCTCACCGGTTCAATCCCTGTCGAGTTAGTTAATTTGGACCGTTTAGTAACCCTCCGCCTTGACTCAAACCGCTTTAATGGAACCGTTCCGCCGTTGAACCAGTCCTCCCTCCTTATCTTCAATGTCTCCGGCAATAACCTCACAGGGCCGATTCCGGCGACTCTCACTCTTGCTCGATTCCACATGGCGTCGTTTTCGGGGAACCCAGGTCTATGCGGGGACGTTGTTTCCAAAGCATGTGATCATCCTAGGCCCCGAATCTTTGGTTCTTCCAATGCCACTGGTTACTTGGGGCAAAGCGCTGAATCACAGGGCAACATCGTCGTTTCCTCACTGTCTAGTAAAAAGCACAAGAGTAACAGCCTGATTCTTGGGTTCGCCATTGGTGCATCGATTCTGATTTCGTCTTTTGTAGGGCTTATCGCGTTGGTTATGGTTAGTAAACGGAGTGTTTCGAAAAATTTAGAAAGCCCAAAAACGGCGGCAATGGAAGCTATGGATGCTCCTCCTGGGAAGAGAACAGAGGAAATCGACGGAGCTCATCATAATAGTGAGAATTTGGTGTTCTGTTGTGGGGAGGCGCAATTGTATACGCTGGAGCAATTGATGAGAGGGTCGGCCGAGTTACTGGGTAGGGGTAGCATTGGGACTACGTACAAGGCAGTGGTGGATGGGAGGCACACTTTAACAGTAAAGAGGCTAGATGCTGGTAAGACTGCAGGAACAAATGGGCAAGTGTTTGAGCGGCACATGGAAATGGTGGGTCGGCTTCGGCATCCAAATTTAGTACCGGTTAGAGCTTATTTTCAGGCTGAAGCAGAGAGGCTGGTGATCTTTGATTATCAATCTAATGGCAGCCTCTTCAACCTCATTCACGGTAATTCCCTAGGCTCTCAATTTCTTTCGATATCTGTTAATTAGAATTTGATATTATATATATATATATATATATATATATTCTTTTGATGAATCCATTATGAACCAGATTCATTGCTTAGAATTGTTTGTCTGTCTTGTGAATTCGTGATCCATGACCTTTTGGATTGGTGTGCCTGCAACTTCTTTTTGTTTCTTGCCATTAAAAAAAAAATATTATTAAAAAATTGGCTTCTCTCTCTTGAAGTCCCTATCAAATTTTTGTTCAATTCTGTTTTCCTGTATCCTAAATCCGAAAGGGTCCTCAGTAAAGTGTCCTTGCCTACAATCACGGGAGTTAATACCCGAAGCTATGTTTGGAAAAAATGTTTGAAACAGAGGCCTAGGTGTTCTGGCTTGTGCATGTTCCAACATTTTTTTTTCAAACACGCACGTCATAGTTAATTGTTTGTATTTGTGTCGTGATCCATGGTCTAACAGATTGGGATGTCTGCAACTTTTTCTTCTTCCTTTTTACTTCTTGCCGCTAAAAAAGTTAGATATTATTTTAAAAATAAAAGATAGATATTATTTAAAAAATACTTTTCTCTATCTCTCTAACATTTTCGTACAGAGATAGATTCTGTTTTCCTGGACCAAAAGGGCCTTCGGTGTTCATGCCCACAATCGCGGGGTCTGCAATTCGGGAAGAGGATTCTTCCTTTTCTTTTCTCTCCTTTTCTTTTCACTTCCCCATCTCCACTCTTCATCAATTTTATTTTAAAAAAAATTATTTAATAAAATAATATAAAAGGTGTAGATGGAGAAAGCGGAGAAAAAAGAAGAGGAAGAAAAGGAGAGTTCCCTCTCCCTGTTTGATTTGACCGTGGGAAATTAATCCGTTGCCAGCCATGCATTTGTCATTCATTCATTTGAAAATTGAATGATAGATAATAGATAATTTTCATATATTGTCACATGATTTTGAATATTTATCTTGGGTTGAATTTTAAACTTTCAAAAACTAGAGATAAGTATGCTTTTGTTTTTACCCCAAAAAGAAACAGCATACTTATCAACTCAATCTTTAGTGAGAGGATAATTAATATTTCTGCCCGCATGATGGGAACTATATATATAAATCTGCTACATCTCTACAGGTTCAAGATCAGCAAGAGCAAAGCCTCTTCATTGGACATCATGCTTGAAGATAGCTGAAGATGTAGCTCATGGACTTGCATATATACATCAAACATCAAGACTAATTCATGGCAACCTAAAGTCCTCAAACGTCCTTCTTGGAGTGGACTTTGAAGCTCGTGTTACAGACTATAGTTTGTCCCTCCTTACAGACTCTTCAACCATTGATGATCCTGATTCTGCTGCCTGTAAAGCACCTGAAACTCGCAACACTAATCGCCCACCTACCTCTAAGTCTGATGTCTATGCCTTCGGGGTGCTTCTACTGGAGCTACTAACTTCTAAATACCCTTCTCAACATCCTTTCCTTGTGCCCATGGATGTGCAGGATTGGGTCAGAACAATGAGAGACGACTATGGTGCTGAAGATGAGCAGTTAGGAATGCTCACAGAGGTCGCTAGTATTTGCACTGTTATATCACCTGAGCAGAGACCAGCTATGTGGCAAGTCTTGAAGATGATACAGGAAATAAAGAAGAGTGTAACGCTTGAAGGTAATACATCTGCTGGATTTTCACACTTTTAGTATAAAAGAAAGCATGAACAATCATAAAGGCCAATATCTCTTAGCTATGATTACAATTCAAAAATGAAAATTTGGGGAAATATTTCAGCATCGATCTGTAGACAACGGCTTCCCTGTTCTTAGTGACTAAGCTTGACAACTCCTGAAAGCAAATATATATATATATATAAATTTTGGTTCCTTCAAGCTCAACTGTCAAGACAGCATATTGAATCAGTAAAATGCATGAACTCAAAAAGGGATGTAATACACTGCTGCTTGGTGAGAAGAATCAACCACCACTTTTGAATTCATACTCACAAGCAGTGGTTATTACAGGTCATGAAGGATGGAATTAAATGACACCTTTGTCGGGTGTGCAAAAGCAAACTCATGAGAGCGCAACTTTCGCATTGGTAACCCCTATAACGCTTGTCCCTTCCTTTTAGTTATTTCGTGCAAGCGGCAAGCCTATCAACTTGTTCGACGACGACTGGTTTGATAACTGCACATGCTACTGGATAGCTTACATTAGTTGTGCTGGGGCCCAATTTAATTCAATACTGTATTAATTTGTATAAAATATTTCATAAAAACTTATTCTAATTTTATTAGATGTCATTTTGTAATTTTTATATTTTTTTAAACAAAGTGATTTTGCCAACTCACTTTTGGTTGATGGCTTGATGCAAATACTTATCCGAGTTAGATAAAGCCTACACCTGGGATTGCCTTAATCAATTATGTCCTTAACCTCCCACAAATTGTACTGTTCATTTCAATTTTTTAATTCCCAAAAAGAATAAACTAGCATTTTTAATAAATGAGTTTTCTGACTTTGAACGAAGATGAAGGCCCAGTTTCTTAGGAAGTGTAGCCTCTTAGAATCAAGCTAGAAGCCTAGAATCAGGTATGCATGAATGCTGTGGAAGACAAGTCTCGCTTGAAATATTTTTAAAAATGGCAAAGGTATAAATTTAATTTTATAAAATATCTTTTTAATCCTTTAATTCTAACATAATTAATCATAAATAACATTTTTTGTGCCAAATATTATAATTTAAAAAATTAAATTTAATATATCAGTATTTAAAAATGTTTTTTTAAACATTTAAAAGTTTTATATTGCTACTGTTAATAAAATTAATAACGTTAAAATTAAAAAATTAAAAAATCACTTTACAAAATTAAAGGATTACAGTAAAATTTTGTAAAAAGTTAAGAACCGAAGATGCTATTTTTGCCTTTAAAAACATACTCCCAAACTTAATTTAATAAATCTTGTTAAACGTAATCTGACTATAATATATTTAAGATTTTCAATTTATTGTAATTTTTTATTCTTTTTAGATTGTTCAATCACATTTACAATCTACATCTATAATCTATAGTAATTACTGTAAGATGTGTACTATTGATCTAGAGTATTCATATGACTTTTCTTTTTATAAAAAAAAAACGTATGGTAAATTTTTTAAATATAATATCATTAAATGAGAATGAAGGATAATGAGGGTCTCACAATAAAAAAGACGGATATGGGACATTCACTAAAAAACGAGTAATGAACAGCGCCGAACCGACTAGGAAAGTTGGAGGGATCAATTTTATAATATATACTTATATATAGACCAATTTATTTATTTTTTTATTAATAATTAAAAAAATTTTACAATAGAATTGAGAAAATTTATAAGATAACAAATCATTTATATAAGACTTACAAAATCAAGAAAAAAGCTTTGCAAAATATATAAAAAAACTCATGGTATAAAATTTAAAAGAAATAAATAATATATTTCTGTTTTTATCTACTATTACTTTTAAAGATACTTTTCTAGTTTTATTTATAAGTTATTTTTAACAAATATAAAAATTTACTAAATTTTCAATTTTAACCCTATTAAATGAACATATTTTATCTCTTCAACATTTAATAGAGGGTAAAAAATTCTAATAAAAATTTAACACTTTAACTTATAAATAGGATAAAAAAATACTCATCTCTCTACCTATAAGTGAAAAAGTTACACGTGAGCAAGTATAGAAACTAGAGAGTGAAGAATACATACTTGTATAGGGATTAGGGAGAAAGAAATACACAATGAAATATGATAAAAGTGAAAGTTAAAGATTGAGAAGCCAAAATAGCAATTTTTTCCTTAAAGAAAATCACCTCATACCCTAGCAAAAAAAATTAAAAAAAAATCTGGTGCCCCCCTCCCCTCAAACACTATCTAGGTCCGCCCCGGGTAATAATGAGCATGAAACAAAGTGTGTGTGAAATTTGTAATAAAATTAAAAATTAAACAATTAAATGGAATTTTAAACTTGAATTTTGATATATTTTAACCTTTAAACAATTATACTAGCCACAATTTAACCCCTATTGTTAATACGAAGTTACCACCCTTACTTTAAGCCCCTCTCTCTGTGTCCACATCCACCGTGACAGTAACACCTCTCTGAAGTTGCAATAAAGATAGATAAATGATGGAGGGTCAAAGTTAAATTCTAGAGATCAGCAACTAGAAGAGGTCCTCTCTCTTTGTTTCTCTCTCAAACACACTCAAATACGTACAAAGCACACACCTTTCACCTTCACCCTACCCCCAATCTCTGACCACGCATTATTGATAATAAAATGATACTAAACATTACAGCATTAGGTTTCCTCAAAATAGTGCTCCACTTCTGGCATATCACTAATGCCGTCAGATTATAACGACAGTGAGTGGTTGAGGCAGTTGCTGGATTGTCATCACTTGTTTCGCCGATAAAATCGCATTAGTATTGAAGTAGCAGAAGTTGACCAATCAACCAACTAGCTCTCTAGGGATCAATGAGAGCAAGTTACAGCGAGCTTATCAGGAGCCATGGCCTTCTTCACTCCCTCGATGGCCATGGAAATGTCAGCCTCAAAAGACAACGACAATGAACCTATCCATGGAATTGTTGTGCCTGTGATGACCCACTCATCTCTCCTCCATACCTTTCCCACCAAGTTTGTCGCCATCAACGCCACTAGTCAATCCCAGGCAGTTGAAAAAAAAAAAAAAAATCAGAGTCCATGGACAAGCTCCGGATGTGACCAACACGGAATCCCGAGGGTCTAGACCCGTCCATGCCACGTCTTCAACAACATTTCTCACTAAGTCTCCACTCCCACCGAGTTTCTAGATGCAAGAACATGTCATCACAGCCTTGTTGAATCTCTCACTGCACGAAGATAACAAGATTCTGATTACCGGTGCAGGAGCTATAAAAGTCACTGATTTATTTGCTCAAAAGTGAAACAGAGACTTAGTGGGGCAATACCGTTGCTTGTTTGCTATTGGATTGTTCGAGCTAGGGAAAGAAATTAACCATAGCTTCAGATGATGAACTGTATTCCATTCACCTATGCACCAAAAAAATTAAACAGACACTAACGTAATTAGTGGTGATCTAAGTCGAATCCTTAATGAGTTAGGTTGAAAATTGATTAAAATTAATTTTTAAAAGTTTTAAACAGTACCAAAAGATTTGATTTTAATTACCTAATTTGCAAAGAATTAAAATATAGGTATTGTTTATGAATTTTTAATTTTTAAGAGAACAGGTGAATCAATAAGTGGTTTAAGAATGAATGAGGGGTTTCTTAAATACTTGAAAAATGCTATTCTTATCAAAATGATTGAAATGAGTTCAATTTCACTTTCAATAGTTAAAAGTTTAAGGCAAGTTAAAAACAAATAACCCAAGTATAAACCAGTATCTAAACTTTTAGTCATTAATTTGGCACTCAAGTGAGATTAAATGTACCATCCAAGTATAAGTTTGATTAAGTAGCTATTCAAGTTCTAAATCTAGTTTAAAACATGAATTCAATTTATCCAATGGCATATAAATTGACCACACAAAGTAAAATTAAGAGAATAGTCAAAAATTAAGGCAAGTAATCAATTCCACTACAAATTTCAGAAATTCTAGCAAAATAATTCAAAGCCCAACAATCAAATTACAAATTTAATTATCTTAAAGGACCAATCAATAGGTCATATATATCACTGTAATTCCAAATTAAAAATCAAATTGAAACTAAGCAATGTTGAAATAAAGAAATTAATTAAAAAAAATTTCTCTCCTTTATAGACTCTAGGACTCAACCATCCTCACAACCTCCTTAGAACCAAAAAAGTCCAGCCACAAAACTCCATCTCCAAGCCTCCAATTTGCCCTTCAAAAGTTATGGACATTGCTCACTATCAAATGAAGAATCGCACAACCAGAGAGGAAGCAAATTGAAGAATCGAAGATTATGTTCTGTAGAGAAAGATGAGAGGATGAATTTGTATGGATGGGATTCTTTGATTAGGTCCGGAAATTGAAAGAAAATGAGTAGGAGGAGTGACGATGGTGGCTGATTCTACAGAGAGTAAAGGTGTGTGCTTTGGTCTAATTTCTTTCCCTTGCTCGAACTGTATCAATTAAAAAAATTATCACACCAAACTTTATTTAAATTACTAGGAGTATTTTAATTGGATAGCCGCATATGACATGGCACGCCTAATATATCTAAGTATTTCTCATAAATTGTAATGTGTATAGAGCCAATAAATCGGGCAAGCCAAGATTATTTGAATTGGATTTAAAGTATCCTACATTTAAAAAAAGCTCATATAATTAAATCTGACTTAAACTTTTTTTGAGTAAGTTTGGATGGCCTATCAAACTTATCCTAAATTATTAGTTCTTTATATACATATAAAGCTGGTATTTCTGACAGCCAAGCTCAATTTAGGGCAGGCTTAAAGTATACTATCTTTTTAAAAATTTACATATAGTTAAACCCGACTCAAAATTTTTTTGGACGATTCGAATTGCCCCAAATTACTAGCTCTAAATGTGAATGGGTAATGGAAAAGTGGAAAGCACATGATGGTAGTGTGCATTTGGTTTTCAATTTGTAAAAGTTCATTTAGTAAAAGTTAGTTTAGTAAAAGTCAATTGTTGTAATGAATATATGTTTAAATATATTTTTTAAAAGTCAGTTTGATATACTAAAAGTTGTTTAGTTTGTGATAGTGAAATATATTTTTGAATGTGCAATTACTAAAAAAGATATTGATTTATGATTTACAATTTTTATTATACAAATGTAATATATTTGAAATATTTAAAAAATATGATAAAGATTTTAAATAACATAAATTTTGATCTATAGTGCTAAAAATTTGATCTCTAGTTATTTGTATTTTTTTAATTTGTAATTTTAGAAAATGTGATAAAGATTTATAATTTTTATTATGTATTAATGCTAAAAATTAACATAATTAATTATTTAATTTATAATGCTTAAAAATTAATATTTAATTATTATTATTGAAATAATAATAAAATTTTTAATGAATTAAATATTTTTTAAAAAAAGAATAAGAGATTAAATTTAGAGTAATATAGTCAAATAACATCCTACTTTTTCAACTCATTTTTCAAAAGTCTCAAGTAGTTACGTTTTACAAATTTACTTTCGATTATTGTTTAAATGTATTTTTCAGGATATACTTTTTTATATAATATTTTACTTGAACAACTTTTAATTTTTAAAAATAAAATTTTGTTTTGTGAATATCAAAAGGGAGAAAACCAAACAGGCCTTAAGGGAAAAG